TTAACAATGAGAGTTAGTTATATACATATTTATTTAATGATAAAAATACCTGAGCTTGAAGCACCTGGTGCTTTGGCTAGATTAGCCTTATACAGCTCACAATCTCTCTTCCAATGTCCCTTCTCTTTGCAGTAAAGGCAAACATCCTTTGCAACCTTTGGCTTCATATGACCTCCACCTTTAGGCTTCAGAGCTGTAGGAGTAGGTCCAACCTTACCTTTCTTCTTTTGCTTATTCTTGTTCTTAGAACGAGACTTAGCATTAGAGCTTACCATAAGAACAGTCTTTCCTTTAGAGGTTGAGGCTTCATAAGACTTGAGCATGTTATGGATTTCAGGCATGGTCGCTTTCGTTTTGTTCAAATTATAATTCACAATGAAGTTAGTAAATGAACTTGGAAGCGAATATAGGATGATAGCAGCTGAGACACGATCCTCAAACTTAATTCCGGTGGTAGCAACTCTTTCAATTAAGCCAATCATTTTGAGGACGTGCTCAGACACGTTGCCACCCTCTTGAAGCCTACACTTGAAAATGTCTGTCAGAAGTTCATACTCTAGAGTCTGACTTTCCGAATCAAACAGACTTTTCAAGTGTTCAAGCATCTCGAAGGCGCTCATCCTATCGTGTTGCCTTTGCAACTCCATAGACATTGCAGCCAACATAACACATTGCACAGTTTTAGTATAAGTGACGTGTTTCTCTCGAGCAGTCAGGTCAAACGTGGCAAACTCAAGAGAGTTAGCATCAGGAATCTTGGCTACCGGTGTGTCTAACACATACTCAATATTTTCTTGTCTAAGAACTAAACGCACATTTCTTTCCCAGTCCAGAAAGTTTGGTCCAGTAAGCTTGCATGTATCCAAGATACTTCTCAATGATAAATTCGACATTCTTAAAAGCCTAAAGAAGTTGAAATAGAACGGAATTAAAATTCATATAATAATTCCTATGATCACATTTAGTTAACTAAATAATATGGACTTTTAATTATTTAGCTCCCACTATTTTTACATGCTCTTTGACCCCAATAAAAAGAACATAGATTGTTTATACAATCATAGTGGCCAAGATCCACATTCATATTATTATAGTCCCAGCTTGGGCTGATCACTACAATAATATAATGGGTAGGTCCCTAGACCAATTGCGTCCAAGCAACTCTTGATCGATCAATTTTTAATTGATCGACATCCCTAAATTAACACTGACGCTTGGGCGACTCGAGCTAATTTAAGTAAGTCAAAACCATCACACGATCACAAACATATGTATCTATAAATTAGTTCTATATTTTGTCGAATGGAATAAACACTTGGGTGAAATATTCTTCAACGAAAAAATATTTCTACTAATTTAATTATGATGGGTGATATCGTTATCCTAGATAAGACTTAAATTTTAATTTATGAGGAACATTTATCGGGGTATTAAATTATTCTATTTAATCAAGATGCTAAAACATATTATCAAATAATATGTTAACGAGATCTAACTCACACAGATAAATTAAAGCATGTAATATAAATCTAATTTATAAGCATGTAATATAAATCTAATTTATAAATTAATGCTCAAAAGCCATAATAATATAATTAGTTGAGGCATGCTAAATATACTACGTAGAAGGCAAGAATTACCCGAACCAAATTTATTAAGCAATTTAATCTCCAAGACACATAATAAAGTTCCAGCCAATTTTTGCAAACATTACGGTCATCTAATTTTACCATTCAATTAGGACTGTCCAACAGAAGTTCCGGCCTAAACTTGTAAACTTCATATTACCCAAACTCTAATCAAGCTGTAATTTTCATACGCCTGCAACAATTTTCCTCCCCTTTTAAAATTCCCAAAACTTTTAAAATTTACCAAACAAGCATATCGGAAGAAGAAGACAAGAATCTTATTCATTTTTCTATGCTCGATGCTCCTATGCAATTAGCAGATCAAAAAGATAAAACTCCAAATTGCAAAACAGCGATTTTACTTTCCAAAATCAAGTCGACAAAAAAAAAATGATCTGCGGTAAAACACATATTTGATCCACACAAATACCAATCCAAATTCGTATAATGTCATTAAAATCAGTTTGGCTCTGATACCACTGTTAGGAAATTGATGTAACGTACCTCGAAAGTACGGCAGCGGAAGTTTAAAAATTTCCCAAACAGATCTTCCCTGATTATGACAAAATAACGAATATGATAATAATAATAGATCTGAGTTAGAACTTACAGATCTTCCAGCCTAGCGGTGATAATCCTTGACCTTTGGTATCCACGTGATTTCTCCTTTCCGAAAGAACGGTTAGATTTCCCTAAGAGAAAGACTAGGAAATCTCTTCGCAGGGAAATAAACTGGTAATACTGAATCTTAAAAACTGATATATAATTATGAAGGAGGAGAGTGTATTTATAGTAGTTCTAAACTAGTTACCCAATCACAATGAAAGTCTTTCTCATTAATGAGTTCTAGTCCTACCAGAACCAATACTTATCAATAATTAAATAAAAACAATATACAATAGTAATAAGAGGGAGGGAGGGCTCACGCCACTCACCTCTTCTCTTTATTAATATATAATATTTTATTTCATTTATAATTCTAAATTACAAAAGAAAACATTACCTTTATTTAATTACAAATACATCTTAATTAAGTATAATAAATCTAATTTATCAGACTTAATTAATTCTATCAAATAGAACTCTCTTTCAACTTTATGAATTAAATATGTTTAATCTAATTAATTTTTAATTCATTTTCAGTATTACGAATTAAATATTATTTAATCCAATTAATAATATTTAATTCCTTCTAACAATTCAATCGGAAGGTATAATCACTTGTTGTGTGACCCATAGGGCCTTATATATTAAACACTAATCAAATTAAGGTCTTAGCGAATCCCTAGACGATTCTCCAGACTAACTTAATATATAAGGACGTTTGCGAGGACTATACAAACTCCCTGTAATATAGAGCTCATAGTGATACGGTCCTTTCATTCAACGAACATTCAACTAAGTCTAGAACATGATATTGTGTCTATCCCAATAACTCAGTCTTTGTCTCTCAATCTTTCTAGATGATCCATAACGATCATATTCGATATCCAAAACGAATATATCTTTGCATTGGCCAATGACTTTATGATCCATCTAGATATGAGAAGTAGAATGTTCTCTCTTAATCTATTATGAGGAATGAATCCTTTCTTGGCTCAACTACTACTCCATGTGCTTCGTGATGCACCCAACACATGCCGTATCTACCCCGATTGGAGTGCAAGCGTTGGTCATGGTCAAAGTACATCACTCCGCACATGTAGTACGTATTGACCTCAAGTCGGAGGACTATTACACTACTCTATACGCCGATAATCCCATAGACACATGAATAGAACTTATCAAATGGTTTCTCGGTGGGTATGCCAATATTCTCTAAAATATATATGTGACCATCATGAATTACATGAACTCATAGTTGTGAGATCAACTATACTTTCTAAAAGTATGATGCAGTCCACATACCAATCTTATCGCATATCATCAATATCCCATTCTTGATGATCATTGATTGGGGCTATTTTAGGACTTTATGTTATATCATATAAGCCCCCACTTACTTATTGACAACATAAGTCCAAGGGAACACAATTATGAATAAGATATTGACAATCGAAATACTTAATCATCAATGTGTAATACCGTATATATCAAATATATAAAACTGAATGTGATCAAGTACATATATCTCTAAAAGGTGATTGTCGCTAGGACATATATACTAACAATTTGTCCATGTTTAGCATGTCTTGATTCCAAAGATGAGTTCTTCAATTTCTATGGGTCAAATCTAATGGGGTCTTGCAGAGTATATCCATGAAAATTTTCAAGCGTCAAAGAATATTTGTTAAATGTTTTGCACGGATTGGTAGATCATATTGTCAAACTCGAGCCAAAATTATGCAAAACTGATTCTGTCATGAAAGAAATGAGCACATATTTTTTATTAAAAAATGCATCAATTCTTGATATATTAGTTTCAGACCCTTTTAATATTTGGGAGAACTACCAAATAAGCCCTCGAACTTTCATAAAAAGTGCAAATAAACCCTTTTATAGGAGGATCTGTCCGGACCTCGTCATTTGGGGCGGTTTCCGGTGGAATTCTATGATGAAATTTTTTGAGCATCTTTTTCATTAAATCTAGTTTACTCATAGAAAATTTCAGCTAAATATTCAATCCAGAAGACAATCAAATGAATTTTTGAAGATAGCTGCGCAACTAGGAAGTGCAGTATATTTCAGAAAATCATTTGACTGCCTTCTCGATTGAATTTTTAACTGAAACGTGGTATGGGTAAACTAGACTTAATGAAGAAGAGGCTCAAAAACTTTCATAAAAAACTTCCACCGAAAACCACCCTAAATGGTGACAGCCGGACAAAGCTTCCTGTAAAAGGGCTTATTTGCATTTTTTTATGAAAGTTCAATGGCTTATTTGATAGTTTTCCCTTAGTTTTTTGTAATACAGTGATAAAAACTCGATATGCAAAATAAGATTATTAAATAGAACTGTGTTGCGGAATAGAATAATAAACTTGAATTGTATTTCAATTCTGGAGAAGGCTAGGTAGTGTTATATTTAGGACAGTTACAAACACATAATGTGACACAACGTGTAATGGATACGATCCTAGTTCGAAACTGAGGTTTTGGCCATTTAATGTATGAAAAGTAACTAGAACTTTAATTTAAAACTAGCAACACAGTAAGGACAATTTAGCTGGTTTGAATCCAAATTAGGTCTTTCTTTCAAAACGCCTTATATTTAAAATTACCTTAGTGATTTTAATACTAGACTTGGAATGCATATACTTCGTATATACATCGCTTGAAATCGATATTGAATGACCTATCTAGATACTCATATTTCGAGTGAGCAATAGCATGCCTTTTTTGTTTCAATTATAGTCAGCCAAATTTATCTAGGTGAAAACGGTAGTAAAGGGGAACTTCAAGGATGCAATATCAGATGCGATAAGAAGCTGGGTAGACAACCTAGAGACGTCATATTTCTTGGGAGGGGTCGCTGTAGGGCCCCATCCATGCCCGACCATGGTTCGAGAGTTTCAGTCGGTCATCGGGAAAGAGACAAGGAAACAGGCGATAGAAAAGTGGGGCGGGGAACCAGAAGTATTGGTGGCATGCGTTGGGAGTGGGTCAAATGCACTGGGACTCTTTCACGAGTTCATCAGAGACCCAAATGTGAGATTGATCGGAGTTGAAGCCGCCGGTGTCGGGTTACATAGTGGAAGACATTCTGCTACTTTGACAAGGGGTGAGATTGGTGTCTATCATGGAGCAATGAGCTATGTTTTACAAGACGAGGATGGTCACATCATGGAACCCTACTCGGTTGGGGTTGGAATGGAATATCCTGCGGTTAGCCCAGAGCTTAGTTTTCTTAAAGACACAGGGCGTTTAGAGTGCTATACTGTCACCGATGAGGAAGCCATGCAAGGTACAGTAAATAAGTAGTGGGTAAAATGCATTAACAATACGTTAGTTATCGATTTAGTTAAGGGTGTGCTTGGGAGTTGGGTTTTGGAGGGTAGGAGGAGGTTGATGGGGTTTATAACCCTCCTTTTCATGTTTGGGAGTTTAAAAAATTGGAAGGGTGGTTTTGGAGGGCTTTTGTAACCCTTCAAAACCCTTCAAATGCTTAATTTTTAAGTTCCCCCAATTTGGAGGGTTTTGGAGGATAATTAAGAAGATGATAATTTAAGCTAAATTAGAAACGAATATCAACTCAATGATTTGAATTCGTCATATCTCAAAGTGATTTTAATTATAATTCCTTCAAAACCCTCTCATAATTTTATTACTCCCAAATACAAAGAAGAGCTTCCTCACCCTCCCCTTCCTTTCTCCTCCAACAACATACCTCCAAAGTCTTCCTCTCCCATTCCCTCCAAACTCCCAAACATACCCTAAGGGTGTGATGGGGGTTTATAACCTCCCTTTTCATGTTTGGGAGTTTATAAAATTGGAGGGGATGGTTTTGGAGGGCTTTCATGACCCTCCAAAACCTTCTAAATGCCTAATTTTTAAGTTCTCCCAATTTGGATGATTTTGAAGGATAATTAATGAATTGGTAATTTAAGCTCAATTAAAAATAAATATCAGTTCAATTATTTAAATTCGTCATATCTCAAAGTAATTTTAATTATAACTCATTCAAAAACTCTCTTCTTCCAAATTTATTACTCTCAAATACAAAGAAGGGCTTCTTCACACTCCCCTCCCTTTCCCCTCCAACAACATACCTCCAAAGTCTTCCCCTCCCCTTCCCTCCGAACTCCCAAACATACCCAAATTCTTAAATGAAATACTTCCTATATCAGTATCACAATTATATATACGTCAATGATTCAACCGACAATATCACACAAATTTCAGGCTAAAAAGTCTTATGTATGTAGCGACCGAAATTCTGTGCGTGTAGTCTACCATGTAGGGATGAATTCGATAAATCTAATATGCAGTGGAGTGTGCGCATGAAACTCTGGCTGCCACGTAGAAGCTTTTTGCTTCAAATTTGAATAGTTTTGCTTTTTGAAACATTTACGTGTAGTTATGGTTCTGATTTGCCATAGTTAAGAGTAAAACTACTAAAGTGCAACAATATTAATTATGGTACTGTTTATTCATTTTATCCTATATCTACTTAAAGTATTTAGGGAGTATTTGGAATTGATTCTGCTTCTGCTTCTTTTTTATAGCAGAAGTAGAATCATTTTTTCAGAAGTTGGTCTCCCCAGCTTCTAAAAAATTGCTTCTAGTAGCAGTTTGGAGCACCCAGAAGTACTTCTGAAGTTCCATCCAAACACTTCAATATCTGCTTCTGCTCTCTGAAGATTAGAAGCAGTTTTAGGAAGTAGATCCAAGGGCCTCCTTAATTAATATCGCTAAGGAAATTAATTTATTTTGTATGTAGTTATATGTTCGTGTATGTTTAATTCATTGCAGCATACAAAAGGGTATGTAATTTAGAAGGGATATTTCCAGCGTTGGAGACATGTCACGCATTAGCATTTCTTGATAAGCTTTGCCCCACCCTAGCCGATGGCACGAAGGTAGTGGTTAATTGCAGCGGTCGTGATGATAAGGATGCTCATAATCACTCCTCTATGCATATACAATCAGTATATACTACAGATGATATACCACAGGCATCATCCATTCATCATCATTTAGGTAGTTCATCAATTTTCTAATTTTGTATGCATATGTTATATCAATGTACGTCTGTAATAGGGAGAATTTACTACACCCAACGTTTTGGGCTATATTGTATATTGCACCGCACTTTCAGAATCATTAATGTATTTATGTATGATCCACATCACTTAAAAGTCATAAAGGAATTGAATGAGGTTATTTGGGACTTTCTGGGGATGGAAATAAGAACTTAGAGATATAGAGCGCCACAAGGGCCGGTACATTTACACTTCAGTAAATGTAACATACTATATTTGTGATTAATGTAAATAATCACAAGGTTATTTTATTCAGATCTTGGGTGTATTAACGATAGTATTATAGAACTTGAGTTACTACGGACAGTTTAACTTAGAGATATAGAGCGCCACAAGTACTTGGACCAGAGTCTGACTTGTTAATTAGTTATCTGCCGCCATGTGATTAGTGAATGATTCAGTACAGATTTCTTAATAAAACAACATCGATGGCATAATATGAACGTTTGGCTTTAATTCAAATTTGCGTAGCCGAGTACATGCGTATGCAGTTTGGTAAGTACTTTGTGAGTGATGGCTGAACCATTGACTTGGAAGTTGTTCTCTTCATCTGATCTGAATGTTTCTGATCTGAATTTTTTAAGATCTGATTTGATCTAATCTGAATTTTTCTGATCTGAATCTTTATGATCTGATCTAATCTGATCTGAATATGTCTGATCTGATCTCAATATTTCTGATCTGATCCGATCTGATCTGATCCAAAACCCTCTAATCTGATCTTGACTTTCTAAAGCGGTATATAATAATAATAATATCAATAATAATTATAATAATAATATAATAATAATAATTATTATTATAATAATTTATTGTTTATTATAAATAATAATATTAATAACAACATCAACATCAAAAATAATAATAATAATAATAACAATAATAATAATAAATAATAATAATTATTATTATTATTGTAATTATAATATAATCGATAATAATAGAATGTTTCTAATTTGCTATGAATGTTTTTGATCTGAATGTTTCTGATCTCATCTGATCTGAATCTCTCTGATCTGAATTTTTTTTTATCTGATCTGATATGATCTGAATAAAATAAAAATAAATAATAAGTAATAAGAATAAGACGAAAAGAAGAGCTTCTTGGTCTTGGTCTTCTTATGATTATATGAGTAATATTTTTACTCCTCTAAAGTCGTCGAATCACCAAGGAAAATTTGCTCCGTGGAAATCAAGCAAATTAAAGTAGTAACTTTGAATTGAAATAGGCACACAAAATATGGCATAGATTAGATACCTGTCCCTATAGATGTTATGTAAGTATGAATGTGAGAGTGTAAGTCAGTCTTTCTAGCTAGCTTTTTGTCTTGCTTGGCCAGGTAGAAGTGCAAAAAGAAGCAAAGTCAAGACATGACCATCGCAGATGGAGATGAATACCGCGGCTTTCCCTTTCTCATCGGCCTGCCTTTCGCAATTTTTGCATTCCCTATTTTCACCTTATTCGGCCTCATCATATGCATCATTGGGTAAGCATTTTTATGGATTTGGATTCATTGTTTATTGTGATTTGCTCTTTCTATGTGAAACCTTCTTTTAACTCAATTTGAATATTTTACGAGCCTTCTTTTTATTTGAACAAGCTAAAGCCCGCCGTTTACTAGTTTTGAGAGGGCTTTATTGTGGGAAGAAAAGCATTTTGTAATTAAGATGGTGGAAAATTATTGGGTGGGGTAGTTGTAAAGTATGGAGTATTTTGTATGAAAGAATTTTTATAAACAGAATATTGAAATAGGAGATTTTCCGAGTTTTGCTTATAATACAAAATAACTTAGGAAAACTCCTATTTACTTCCTCAGTTTATTTTTAATTGTAATTGTCCACTTTTCACGTTTACGAACGTACAAGTTAGACCACTAATATTTTTCATCCTTTAGTAAAAAAAATAAAAATTTAGATTATGAAAATTTAAAGTGAGAGAAATTTCATAATATTCTTTTTAATTTAATTTATAATACATTAATAAATAAAATAGATTAATAAATAAAATAGAGTCAAAGTAGAACAAGTGAATAGTGTAAAAAGTCCGATGCGGTTACATTTAAAAAAGAACGGAGGTACTATATGCTAAGGCACCTCCTCAATTCATAGATACGATGATGCTAATAGAAATTCAATTTAGTGGCTCCTAATGATTCTCTTGAATCCTCCTTAAAAATATCTACATCGATCCTACACCATTGTGCTATCTAGATAATTTTAAAATTAAAGAATTATCTAAGATTATATACCGAACTAGAATCATCTATTACGGATTACCTCTTATTTGACTCGTACTATTTATTCTAACAACATTGGGCTAGCATACTTGAAGATAATGATTTCATCAAATTTATTTTAAAATAGAAAACGAAATCCTCCTCTACCTGTGACCGTCTCCCTTGAATAAGGGTTCCAATTTTTGTCGTCTTGTGTGCGACGTTTAGATTTAGTTGTGCTTTGGAGTGATTATTAGGTTAGCAGAGAAGGAATTGTTCGCAGGAACATCGCTAGGCATGCTGTGGCGGCCGATGGGGAAGAAGTTGCGGGAGCCAAGGGAGGGAGAAAGTGAGACGTCCAAAGGTGCTGAAACTGCAGGGCAGACGGCGGTTGCGCGCCAGGAAATCAATTGAGCAACGGGCGGGAGATGTGCCTTGTTTGTGTCAACAATCATAGCGATGATCCGGCATACTCCTGAACCACCGCCAGGGGATGAACGAGGTGCTAGGGTTCAAGACACTTGTTCTGCTTATTTAGTTTTTTTCTTGTTTCATCCTCCTCCTATTAGTTTTTATTATTTTATCATTTGGTTTCTTGTTACCTTCTATGTTGTTAGGTTTGTCAATTTGTTTAGGAATTTAGCCTCCTTTTATGTCATTGGGTATGTTTGGATCAATGGGAACAAAGATGGTTGTGTCAAGCCCGCTGCATGGTTAGCGATTCGTGTTGCTCTTTCAGGGGTGACCGTCTCTAAGTCTGATCATAGGGTTTACAACCGTAGTTGTTGGAGTTTAGTTGGTGTCAGATTTGTTTTTTCCTTTGATTGATGTAATGATCCTCAAACTTATTATATGAATAGAGAGGAAAGTTTCCGATCAAAAAAACAACATTGGGCTAGCTAATCAAGTTTAATTTTTGAACACCCCCTTATACTTGATTATCAATCCATTCATGCTCCTTAAATTGATTAAGTCTTCTTGCTTAAGTGGCTTTGTGATGATGTCGGCAATATGATCTTCAGAGTTCACATAAGCTAGTTGCACCTCTTTTTTAAAATGAGTTCTCTAATATAGTTATATCCTATGTCTATATGCTTGATTCGGTCATGATAGATATAAAGTTTTCTTTTTGAAAGGATCAAGATCAATATATTAATCCAAACAATCGTTCGCCAACCGGCTCGAAATACAAATCAAGCTACTATTGAAATAACCACACCCGTCTTGAATAATGTCCCTAGAAACCTTATGGGCCACACGGTTCGTGGATTGTTTGCAATACTGAACAATAAACCTAGCTTCATTATGAAGAATGTGTCTAATATCACCCATGATAATGCCAAAGTATGAGTCTCCTGAATCTTCATCCAGCCTTGTGGTAACTAGCTGAGCATCTCTTTGTATCGCAACCGTGTTCCATCCTTAATTATGTGCCAATGGGGCAGCCGCTCTAACTCTAAGAGCCTCTATGATGCTTGCTGACCAATCTGCAGAATGATTTTCCAACCTCCTCATATAAGCTCGATATTGTGGTCTCTTGCAACCCATCTCCAAGCTCTGCATCCTCGATGATCATCTGTGGCTTCATCAATATTAGTCATGATTGTTCAACACATCGGGTCTCCTTCTCTGCCACTACTTCCTGCGCTCCCTTCAGGTTCGGACAGCCCGCCATCCTAGCAAAACTGAAGCTCTCATGTTTATCACATGTAAAACATTAAAACAATGATTATTTTACACCACCTCGCAACGCTCCTTCCATATGGTCCATAGTGGACTATAAACATGCATAAGTCATCCTTAGCTCAGGTGGTGAAAAGTTTCTTCATCCACTCCTGCCAAGACGACACAGACCGTTGGAAATCAATCCCATTTTTTCCCCAGACTGCAACCAATGCCTTGCAATCTTTAAAAAGATGGATCCTAGACTTGTCATCTTCATTTCACAATTTGAAATTACCTGGTATATTCACCCTTTGTTGTCTCAGCTTATCCGTCGTAGGTATCATATCTTTCATAACTTGCCAAAAAAGTATTTAATTTTTTGTGGTAGGAAAAAACCCCACATTATGGTCCACCCCATCCAACTATTGTCCACAAAATCACCGATCAGCCTCCTATATCCAGATTTAACGGTATACTGTCCCCGAGTGTCCCCAATCTATCAGTACCCATCTTGTAGCTCCCTATGATCACTTAAGGGAATATTCAAAATTTCTGAACTGTCCCGATCATTAAAGATGGATCTAACCCTTTCCAAATTCCACCCCGACCTATCCTCCTTAATCAAGGCAGCTACATTCATATATAAAACGCCACTCGGATTTGCCGAAGAAACCAATCCGTTGTCGTCCCCGGGAAACCACCTATCATACCAATTAGAGATATCTTTCCCGTTCCTAACCCACCTCTTGGTCCCCTCCCGGATGATTCTTTGAACTTCAAGAAAAGAAGATTTGGGAAAATATTGAGCCTTGAACACCTTCTCCGCTAGCGAATCAGGATCAGTAGTGAGTCGCCGAGCTTGTTTTCCTAGCATAGCAATATTAAAATCTCTCAAAGATCGATAACCCAATCCACCTTGAGATTTAGGATGACATAGCGTGATATGCACTAATTAGTAGTGCGTAAATGTATCTTTTTATGTTTGATTTGTATGGATTGTTTGCCGTTTTATTTAGTTTGTAAACATTTTTGTGATTTTAGTTGTAATTGTATTTTAACCTTCATTTGTAAGTTGTAAAGTACAATTAGGAACTATGGTCTTGAAAAGGAGGATTTTGAAGTGAAGAAAAAGGGATTTTAACTGTCTAGGAGCGATTAGCCGACCGGGTAAAAGACTTCACCCGGTCGGGTCTGATTTAACAACCGAAAGTACCTGGAATAACTGATGTGCACTTTGTCACGGTGCGT